GGAACCCTCACGATGGACCAGCATGTGCCGCTTGCGCCCACGGATGCTCTGATCTTGGTGGACCCACTCATTCTTGACGAAGGCGAATGCCGTAGAGCCGCACTGTACGGGAGTGATGATTAGTTCAAATAAACGGACCACCCGAGTGATCGATGCTCACCTCGTCAGGGAGTCTAACGATCGTGTGATGGGCCCCGTTGAGGTACAGGTGATCGCATCCCTTGCTGGGGTCATGACAGACCACTCGGATGTCTTGATCCGTGGCCGACGGGTCGCAGTCGAGTATAGTCCACCCAGCCGAGGGTGTGAGGTCGGAGATGCTCGAGACGAAGCCAGTCTGCGCAGCATGAACCGTTAGACGGAGACATACTCGAGAGACCGCGGCATGGTTGTGACGTACCATGTCGAATCTCCCATAGCCGTAGTCATCCGTGTGTTCCCAGCGACAGCTCCCACTATGGCAAGGCTGTGTGCTGGCAGGATGATTCGCCGCCAGGGCCAAGAGAGGGAGGGTCGCGGCGGCGACGAGGGCGACGGGGACGACGGGGACGACGGGGACCATGGCACCTACAGAAACGAGGGAGGAGTTGAGGTGGGCATGTCTTCACGGTCGCGACGCTCTTATGAGTGCAGGCATGCCAAGGCTTGAGCGACTCGGGGCTGAGTGTTCGTGGACGCCAGCGTCGATATGAACGACGAACTTCCCAGCTTGAAACCGCATACGCTGTGCCAGCGCGGATGCAACACTGTCAATTGCGATGTCGAGGGCGTGACAGAGGGACCTGTTCAGTCGGCGCACCTTGCGAAGCTTCTGCATCCAGACACATACCGCTCGTGTGGTCTTGACTACACTGCCGCTCCACGTGGATTCGCGTCTGCTGGATCACAGGCAAGTTTGCGTCGGGAGCCGCAGTATCGATAGGACTGACTTGCACGCTGCTACTGCTACTAGTAGGCTTGGCCATGCGAGTTCGACGTTGGTCGATGAGCTGAAATCGCAGGAGATTGCCCTGACAGAGTCATAGGCGTGCACAGAAAGGGGTGAACGGTGTAAGCGACTGTCAGTAGTAGAACTCACGATGTACAGCTGCGCCCACAAACAGTGATGACAACGATCTGCCGAAAGGTGGTCTCCTCGGACGAGCGCAAGGGTGCGTGAGATGCCGAGCGGAGATCAGAGTCGAGCGACAGGGGCCTGAAGAAATGTCCGCGCTGGTCCTCCGTCCTGTGCGTGTCGGCGAGTCTCTGCTGTGTTTCCTTGTATCCCTCCAGGCGCTCTCACTTGGTCTGATCATGTACATCTGTGTGGTGTACGTGAACATCAGAACAAAGGGTCATGTCATGACAGCGCTCTGACTTCACCTGTTGCGTCGTTCGCCGAAGCCATGTGTCGATGTCATCGTATACTAACTGCGACGAAATCGAACCGTCTGTTTCGGCCCGGTGGCTTGCATGCAAAAGCGAAGCCTACATGTGCACTTCCGCACAACTTCCGCAAGCAAAACCGTTCATTCCGAGCTTTGACGTTCTCAAAGGAGAGATCGTCCCACAGCGCTCGGGTGTGAGGATGCGTTTAACGAGGAGCGACGCGGCTTAACCAACAAGGAGGAACTTGAACAGCATCAGTGCCATGTGCAGAGAGTATCCGAAAGATCTTGAAAACTCACAGGATAGATGCACGGACTCATACGGCTTCACCTCACGCATGATACTTGCCCTGTGATGTCATGAGGGACCTCATGCTGAGCTCCCGTCACCATACTATTACTAAGTAGTAGCAGGGTGCCATCGTTGTTTTGTGGACCGTCCGGCATGCCGCATGCGCGTCCTATATTATGCTCGCTATTCTTCGCTCGCAAAATGATGCATGGTGGTGGGAGGAGGATCGGATGCTGGCTGGACCGAGCTGGAGGTGGCCAAGGTGCCTTCAGCGCTTGGAGACCTTGGAATCCGAGTCGAGGTGGCTAGCGCTTGATGCAAGTTTCACTCAACCACCACCTCGATCGCCAATTACCTCCTCGTCGCGCATTGCTAAACTAGCCAAAACGTATTGAGACATGGCAGCGAACATGGAAGCACTCGCGACTGCTGCTCGAGAGTTCCTGGGTCGCTGCAGAGCTTTGCTGAGCGAAGACAGCCCTTACCCGGTCGAGTAAGTGGTTTCAAGTTGTATGAGTCCTCTCAGCCCTCTGTGCTCATTGCGATTTGCAGTATCAACTCCGTAGGTTTATTTTGTCTGTGTCTTGCTATGATTGTACCGCTGCTCACACATAGGCTCTGAAGGTTCGAGCTATTGAGCAAGATCTGCAGCTTTCCGTGGTTGCCATCAGGCAGTACTACAACGCATCCCCATTTGCCCCTATCAACCGTCTTCATCCAGAACTGCTGAGTATGATCTTACAGCTCATCCGTCAACCACGCGTCCCCGCAACGCCTGGGTCTCCGGAGACGCGGCGCTTCGGCTCGTACAAACCACTCATCGCTCTGACATTAGTATGTCACAAATGGCATAGGATCATCACAGATGGCTCTTTCCTATGGAACGAAGTCGACCTCATCAACGACGGGAACTTGGTCCAGCACCTGCTCGAGCGGTCCAAGGCTGCGTCTCTCCACGTGCGGTTCGCCTACCCCGGGTTCGTCAAGGATGGCCGGAAGGTGCTCACTTCGTTCCTGAAGAATCATGCACATCGATTCGGAGAACTCGAGGTCAAGCTGAAGAGCGCGGACCGCACGTCCAAGATGTTGCCGCTGCTCGATGTCCCGATGCCACGTCTTCGCTGCCTGGTCATATCACTCGAGGCTTCAAAGAAGGCACTGAAGAATGCCCACGCAATGTCATTCAAGCGTTTCCCTGCCCTCAAGGCCCTCACGCTCTCCGGAACCATCCTACTACCGAAGGAACCAGTCCTCTCTCTCACCCACCTGCATATCGTCGCGTTGATACACGACTCGGAGAGCATCCTCCCACTGCTGAACGTGCTGCGCGCAACGCCGACGTTGGAGGTTCTCGACCTGCGCGCGATCAGGCTCGTCACCGAGAACATCAAGAGCCCAAGCGTGACGCTCCCCCGTCTGCGTGCGTTGAGAATATCCGATTATAGCTGGTGCGATGTGATCCATTTCCTCCTCTGCCACACGATCGTCCCCAATCTCGCCGTCGCGGACTTATCAAGCGTGACCCCCTTGCATCACCGACAAATCGAAGAGTACATCCCGCAGTCCTTCTTAGATGGACTTGGCACAATGACCCGGCTACGCGTCGAGTACTTTCACCCCCAAAGCCCCCCGCTCATGGTCATCTTCGAGAACGCGGACTTCAGACTCACACTGCGGCAGGGTCGTGACCTTGATTGCTCCGTTCTCGCCTCCCCTCCCATGCTCCGCTGCCTGGACGCCATAGAAGACATGTACTTCGACGTCAGCGACACGTACTGCGTGCAGGAGGCTGGGAAGTGGTTGGCCGCACGACTGAGGAACCTCACGTCCCTTGTTATGAGTGCTACCGACTACGGGATACATCTCCTCCAGCCCCAGCCCAATGAACCCGTCGTCTTCCCCCGACTCGTCTCCCTCGGGCTCGGATCTCGCTTCGGCTTCAATATCGACGCAGTTGACCCGATACTCGAGGAACGCGCGAAGATTGTCGGCGGACCTCTCCCAGTCCTGCGGGTCGGGAGCCGGGTCGGGAGCCGGGGCTACAAAGGATTGGACAAACGGCTCAAGGGCCCGGGCGGGATCAAGCTCAGGAAGTGCGTCGGTTCGTTGGAGGTCGTGCAGCTTTCGTGTGTGCAAGACAGCTTGTGGGCCTCACGTCGGGCTGTCAGTCCCATGCCTTTCATGGACCATGGCTATTGGACCGATAGCAACTTGTGGAACTGCAGACCTTGGTCATAACATCACGGCGTCACCTAGACCCATTCGTAGTAGGACTCGGAATACTATTGAGTAATATGTTCAGTCAGAGCCACTATTTGATGCGCTATCTCCATGCTCCCTCGATGCCACATTCGGCGTGGTACTTAAGTTGTCGTGAGCGTTGACTAAGTATCAATAATGTCAAATGCTCGATGCAATATCACAGGTCCTCCCGATCGTTCGCTAAGTTCATGTTAGCGACTTATTGCCCATCTCAAGTACCTCCCAAGCTTCAATGCCTTGAGAAACGCTCGTTGCATGCTCCGAGACGGCCCGAAAAGCGTGAGTGGCTCACCAAGGATGCACGCAGGCAGGTGGTGTTCCACTGGTGCCCGTCACAAGAGGGTGTCGAGTGGAACGAGGACGCCAAGAAGGCGGCTGAACTGCCGCTGGAGCGCGATGAGTGCTCGCTGGCACATGCCCGGCATTTGCTGGCTTTGCAGCTACTGGCGGATCAGTGGCGGTACCGCTCGTCGCCGACCTACAGGGGTCAGAACTTCCTGCGACTGAAGGCGCTGGACTCACCGACACATACGTCGAACCCGGTACTCAAGTACTCAAGACGTACGGTGAGTCCAAGTCGACCATGGCGCGGTTCTGCCGGGCGGTCCTGAACCATGCGCCGCTCGGTTCTTACCGCTGCCGTTTCTTCCCAAACGAGCCCACAGTGTGCCCCGATTGCGGGGTCCTCCAGGATCGGGCACACGTCTTGCTGCAAGCGGTATCGCCGCTGGTGGAATTGCCCGGGCGAATTCGAGTTCTTGCAACGTGTGAGCGCATACCGCGGTCACACCTCCTTCTTGGCCGCGAACGGGAGCGTGTGCATGTTCGTGGACGCGCCCAGCTAGATTGACCCGCGGGGACCTCGTCCCCCGATGTACGACCGTCGCATTGCCGTCCGGGCGGTGCGCGCAGAGCCCTTAGATGTCGGCGCCGATGGCTGAGGGTACTCGCCTGCCACCGTGGATTCAGTAGATGATAGTAATGCCGCACCTGTACTACGTACGAGTGGGGTATAAGAGTTAGATACTAAAAAAACAGACGGCCCCAAAAAGTAAGCCATGTAGGGTGAATTCAACCGCTACCACCGACGGGGATCGAACCCGCAACCCCCACCTAGTCCTTATGAAGAAACCCCACACATAGGAAGGTGATGCGCTACCATTGCGCCACGATGGCTCGTAGCGAGAAGTAGCAGTGGTGTATACGGGGTGCGTCGCATGCCGTCCGGTGAGCCACTGCTGGGTTAACTTGCGCTCAATGACAGTCAACTCGATGAGGTCGACACAGCTACTCGACTGTCGACACCTGCAGTCGCATCTGACGAGGTCACTGCTAAGGTCATGTTGTCGAAGGCATACAGTACCTGTAATCGGAGCGAAGACAGATACAGAGGCCGTAAGCGAGTGCTCGGGGATGCTCGGGTGGCTCCAAAGCGTAGTCTGACTGGTCGCGCCGGACGGGTAGCTAGCTGACTTGGACCGTAAGGGCCAATGCAGGTCCTCTTCCATCTGGGATGGAGCAGTACTGCGTGACGAGGCGTAAACGAGCAAAGAGAGCAAAGAGAGAGAGAGAGGCGGAGGATCGGAAAGTTCAGAGGAGCGATGCCGAAAGCCTCACCTGTACGTCAGCCATGGAATCCGGATCCTGGCGAGGACGATAGTCCTTGCGCCCATAGCATCTGCATTCCGCTTCCTCAGAGGTAGCCATCCTTTGTGAGCCCATTGCTTGAGGCCAATGGCCATGCGTAGCGTAACGCCATCAGCATGGTGAAGAGAGATGGAGTTAGGCGAAGAGGTGAGAATGGTGCGCAATTAGGGATAGATACAGTACAGAGCAGCATGCAAGTCGTCCGTGATCATAGATGGGTACAAAGACGAAGTCTGGGCGCGGTAACGCCAGCACGATGGTTCTGTCCTAGACACGAGATCAGACACGGACACACTGCGACAGTGAGGGCGACGTACCTCGTCCAAAGGAGGAGCCATCTGAGTTTTCTTCAACACCCGCTGCCCTCGCCTCCTCCCCCTCTGTCGCTGCCAGGGTACCAGATCATGCCGGAATCATGAGGTCTCCCCACGTCCTCATCGCTGCAATGCCACCGAAGAAGACGACGACGGAGGTGAGGATGCTGAGGTTTCCGGGGATGTTCTCCGGCGCGAAGATCTCCTCGCGCATGAATCGGGAGATTGCGGACTCGTTGGGGTCGTGGATGACACGGCGCGGGGGCGCAAGGCCAAAGGGGGATGCTCCGGGTGCTGCGCGGCGGGCCATGGTGGTCTTTTGGAGGAGAAGAGGTGGTGGGACGGGAGCGAGTCGTGGAGGACGTGAGCGCGGACGGTGAGCTGGACGTGCGCTAAGCGCTGGTGTGCGCCAGACAAAACTCTCGAATTCGGAAATTATCATCGCTTCCTCCTCTCCTCCTCCTCCTTCGTCCACCTCTGCTTCCTCCTTGCTCACTTACTACGCTTCAAATATTTGTCACGTATTCTTGGCTGAACTACGTGAACACGCCAAAGGTCGACGCGTCCTCCGACTCCAATGTCGCTCTTCGCCACGTCTCGCATTGCGCACCGGGCCGCCAGTCTGCCACCGGAACTGGTCTTTGCTTGCTTGCATACTTCTGCATCAAGCTCGCTGCAAGCGACTTCATCTCTGTCTTCACAACGTGAGTGATATATGACTTGGAGATTGTCCTCTAGTCTGGTGAATTGGTGGGACAAATCGTCAACTTCGTGGAGGAAGGTGCAGGCCATACTCATGCGGAAGCCGTGACTCTCATCTCGCGCGCGGGTTGGCCTCCATCATTGAGTGCTTTGAAGGTGCATGACACATTCCACCATATCTAGGATTGTGGTGCGCCACGGACGGGCGCGCCGGGCAGGAAACGTGCAGTCTCGTCGGATCCAGAGGTTCGCCCTCGAACGCCATCGCGCATTCTACTTAGTGGAGGCTGTCTTCCCCTCACGAACATACTGCAATCTTTTCCGGCATTGTTGACGACGGCGTGAGCTGCCAAAGGGGCCTGTGAACTCACAGCACGCTTCGGTCAGTTTCACTGCGCGACGTCCGCACATACGCAGTTGAGACAGGAGGAAGTATGCGATACGGTAGAGGTTCCAGACCGGTCGACGTGTCCATGCAGCGCTTCCAGCAGTTCGAATGAGGCCTTGAATCCGCGCGAAGACGGACAACGTCTGAGCGACTCGGAACTTTGTCCGGCGGACAACCCGGCGATAGTCCGCCGGACAAAGTGCACAGAGCGTTGGACCACAGTGACGGATGGCCCCCCTGGTCCTGCCCCCGCCTTGACCCCAGCCGCCGAGTCCCGATGCCTCGCTCGCCACCATGGCTAACTCTATGGGCAGCGCATACGATGAAGCTATGTGATTCGCCAATTGCGCGACCTGCAGCCACCTTTACCATCGCCATGGGCTTGCTTCACAGCATGCGCCGCGCGAAACTGCGTACCCTAACACTGGCACTCCCATGTCGGACCGCTTATCTTCCGATGACCTCGGTCGGCGGTGGGTTTCTGCCAGGCGCGTGGCTGACGGTGACTGTTATAGTCGGGAGTGTCGGGGAGGACGTGTGGAGCGCGGGGTGCGTTACATTCATGAAGTCTTGCGCAACCAAAGACGGCGAGCGTTTCTAGCAGCTAGACTCCCGATCCTTCAGGCCTCCAGTCATACATTGCTAACCATCCCATCCAGGTGTAGCCCCTTCACGCAAACGCCTAGTGAAGAATCTCAAGTCATCGTCCAGGGGCAAGGTTGAAGTAGCTCCCCCACCGCCGCCGCCGCCCCGAGATGAGGCGCCTCATATCGGCCGAAAAGCGGTCAATCTGCATGAGTTCGCACCGCGCAAGCGTCCTGGCACGCGAGAGCTGGAGGAACGCCGACAGCAGCCATTTGGCAAAAGGGGTGGATTCCAGCAGGGCGGGCAACGACAGGGTGGTTTCCAACAGAGCGACTCGCGGCAGGGCGGGTTTCGGCAGAGCGACTCGCGGCAGGGCGGATTTCAGCAGAAGGACTCGCGGCAGGGCGGATTCCAGCAGAGGGACTCACGACAGGGCGAGTTTCAGCAGAGGGACTCGCGGCAGGGCGGATTCCAGCAGAGGGACT